GCAATCCTAGTTAGCTCAGGGGCTCTTCAAGTATTTTACTTATGACCTAAGTAGCTGGGCAGGCTGATAAGAACAGACAAAACAAGCTATTTTGTAGGCTAGTAAACTTTTATCTTAAACTTTGGTTCAGGTGAGGGCAATAAAGCCAGGGTGACGAAGTGGGGCAGTGGGAGGCCGACAAGCAGACATCAGCTATCCAAGCAGGGCTTAGTACATCCTGTTTCTTCTGTAGTTTGCTGACCTAAGCTGATTTAGGGCACTTTGTCTTAGAAATGGACCACTGTATACATTAGTTCCTTCATGAGGAAGGTGAGAAAATACAGGAAGTAATTTAATGCAAATTTAATTAACTATGAAAATTATAGCAAAAGTTTACAAAGGTTTTCTCTGGGGGGTCATTTTCCACTTCTCTTTAAAAAACAGATCTTCCTGCACACTTTATCATGCTGTAAACACAAAATAGATGTAGTCTTGGTAAATTTAATGGCTTTAAAGATTGTGGCAAAGTTTAGTACTTAAAGTGAATTAAATGAGATAACTAAAATATATACGGCTATATCTTGTGATGTGAAAGCAAAAGAGGCCAATTCCTTTTGCATATACTTATGAAAAGTCACATGCTAAAACTGTTGGAAAGTGACTGAATTTTATTAAAATCAAAGTGAATACAGAAAACTAAAATGTATCCAGAAGATACATTAAATTGTGATGTTTCATTTTATAAGTGAGTGCAACTAGCATTCTTTTAAATTATAGGTTCTTCAGGTGATTTCAGATATAATAGGGCCTCCTGGCATTGGCTCATCTAAGTCATTCATAGGTTATTTTAGTATTCCCTGGGATGCAAATGGCTTACAGTCACAAGATATAATTTGCCTCAGAGGGCCAGGCACTCTTATCAACTCACTTTTTTATTGTAGCTTCTATTACTTATCCATATTCTTTTACCCTTTTTAGTCTGAAAACCTTTTCCTTTACTGAAATGATAGAGGCGAAACAAAGGTGAATGGATTTTCAGTCTCTCTCTCTCCTGCTAATTTATACCACAGAATCCAAACTGATTTAATTCCTCCTTTTTGTTTTCTTGGACCTAACCTTTTTTTTTTTTTTTTTTGGTCACCCTTAGGGTTATCCCCAACTTCAGCTCATTGTAGCTATCTATTTTCTGTAAATCAATGATTTAACTAATTAAAAATGGAAATCTATTTTTTTCATCTAGTCAGCTATTACTATTCTCCATGGCACTAAATAATCTACATAGAACATAATTCCAATTTAAAATTTTTGATGTGAAAGAAATTAATAATTCACACTTATTTTGGAAAATTTCAAACCTAGAGAAAAAAACATAATATACATGTAGACCCTCCATCTGATTCACCCATTTTTAATATTTTGTCACATTTACCTCCTTTTGCTGTTATCTACATACATGTATATATGCAACATATATATTTCTCTGAATCATTTGCAAATAACTTGTAGACCCAATTATTCTATATCTGTGTTTTCGACATAAAATTCCCAATTTAAGGACAATACCATTATCACATTTAAGAAAACCTTAATTCCATTATACTACCCAATATCCAGTTCAGATTCAAATTTCTGCAACTGGCCATCAGTAACTGTCTTTTCATTTATTTTTCATATTCAGGATTGCATTTTGTTTCCATGTCTCTTACATCTCTTAAATTTGAAAGAATTTTTTTTTTTAAAAAAAACCTTAAATTACATTTTAACAGTCTAGGCCAGGTTTCCTGTAGAATATGCCTCACTGTGGATTTATTTGCTTGTGTCTTCATGTTTAACTTACTCAGATATCCCCTATATGTCCTTTAAATTTGTTCTCACATATAGACCTTAGCACTATTGACATTCTGGGCCAGATCATTCTTCCGAGTGCAGGATATCCTGTGCTTTGTAAGATATTCAGCAGTATCCCTGCTGCATCCCATGGGATGCATAACACCCCTACCTCCTCAGACTGTGACAACCCAGACATTGCTAAACAGATCTGGGGGTGTGGGGTTGGTTTAGGATCCACTGTCCAGAAGCTTCGTTAAATTCAGGTTAAACAATTTTGGCAAGAATATTTTCTTTCTTTCTTTTTTTTTTTTTTTTGAGATGGTATCTTGCTCTTGTTGCCCAGACTGGAGTAAAATGGCATGATCTTGGCTCACTGCAACCTCAGCCTCCCCTGTTTAAGCCATTCTCTTGCCTCAGCCTCCTGAGTAGTGAGGATTACAGGCACCTGCCATCGCACCCGGCTAATTTTTGTATTTTTAGTAGAGATGGGGTTTTGCCATGTTGGTCAGGCTGGTCTTGAACAACTAATGTTGTGATCCACCCACCTCTGCCTCCCAAAGTGCTGGGATCACAGGTGTCAAAGAATACTTCTTAAGTGATGTGTATGTCTAGTTGCATGACATCTGTAAGCAGACTACATTAGATTTTCCCATTATTAGTGATTCTAGCTTTGATCTGTTAAGCCAGTGATTTTTTTTAAAGGTAAAGGTACACTGTCTCTTCTTTAATAAGCACGTTATGGCTTGATACTTTGAGACCATGTGAAGATGTGAAGATCCTGCACTCCTAGTCTTTCACCTTGTGGCTTTTAGTATCCTCTGATAAAATTTCCTGAATCAATTGTGGTTGACCTGGAAAATTGTGATTTTTCTATCATTTGTTCTACATTGATTATCTTTTCCTCTGAAAGAAAATGTTCTGTCCTCCGTTCCTTTTATTTTTCGTGGCACTCCGGAAGAAATTCAATGTGTTTAATCAATTATTGTCACCATTTTTTGGATGCTCTATTGTCCCAAACTTCTCCAGTGGGAATCTCATTCTTTAAAGGAATTTACTATTTTGTGAAGTATTTTATTATTGTAAGCACCAAGCAGTGGTAAATCCTTACTGAATTATACTGCATGTAGAACAAACGGCTTCATAACCAGTGAGAAATTCTGATGATTGGGACAACATACCATTTTCATAGTTAACAAGTTACATTAACTGCAAAAGGTAAATATTTGGTAAGAAAAAATTCTAACTGCCAATAAAAATTGTTGGCTATTTGAGTCATCTATTTACCTTTTAAATGGCAAATTTATTCCTGGCTCCTGTAAATGATGGCCAATGACTAGAAATGGAAATACAATTGTAGCATACGTCTGACCTAAACATTGCATACTGCCACACATTGTAGGGAATAGGATGAAGCTAGTTCTGATCTAAAATTATCTAAACAATATGCTTGGGAACACATCTCAATAGCATTCTACCTAAGAAAGCATCGCGATTTTATAACTATGACTTTTGGGAAGACCAAACGGAATACCCCAGCTGAAAGGAGAAAAATCTGTATTAAGGAATTTCAGCTCCACCCAGGGCACTTATCCCCTTCCTTCTGGAACTGCCAATCTCCTCCCCAATCCCGAGCGCCTCTGCCCAGTTCCGCAGACTCTGCTCCAAGTCTGTTTTTGATGATGCCCTTAGATGAGGCAGCGGCGGCAAGTCGCGGAGACAGGGGTTACGTCTTCTTCCCTCGAATTGGCAGATGGGGACAGTGCCCTTCAGCAGCGTACTTTCCGCCCCGCACCTCCCGGACGCCCCAGAAGTCAAAGATCAAGAGGGTGGAGCAAACTTTTAGAGCGCGAGCGCCTCCTCGGCCCGCGAACCCTTCCGCCGGCTCCTCCCTGATTGGCCAGCGTGAGTCGCAAACGCCCAATCGCGCGGTAGCGTCCGCGGTGCCGCTCGGCGACGCCGCCGCGCATGCCCACTCAGAGACCCACCCCGCGCCGCAGCCCTCTGGAGCGCTGGCGATGGGCACCGGCGGCGGGGCGGCTGCAGTCGCCAGCCCTGACGGTACAGGCCGCGCTGGGACACGGATGGTCCCATGTGGAGGTCAACAGGAAAAACAAGCACTGACACGACCGCCCCCCTTCCCCACATCTCCGAGGTGCAGGTTTTCTCGGGTTGACCAGTCATTTTCACTGTGGTGTCCGGCTTCCACCCGATCTGCCCGTGCGGACTCACCAAAGCCTGCCCTTCATTCTTTTCTTTGCGTCCGGGAGGTCCAAAAGGCGAGGTGAAGGGAACGAATCTTTTTAAGAAAGTGAACTTTTGTGCGGAATGGGCTGGGGACACCTCTGAGTCTCCCTGCCCGAACCGTGGCCTTTTTAGCGCCGTCCTGGACGCGCGCTCCGTCCCTGGCCTCATCCTGCCGTCTCCGAGGTGACCGCCTGGCGGCGCTGCACACGCCACACTTTGGCTCTACGAAGAACCTCCCCACGACTTTCCAAGGTGTGCAACTCAGAAAAGTGGCCCCCAAAACAAGTGAAAGCCCTCGGTGGGGAGGCAAAGTCCCTCAGCGGCCCTCAGACTCCGACGCCCCCAGCTCGCGTTGAGTGGATCGGGCCCCGGAGCTCCGCAGCCTGGGAGCCCCACGCCAGGCCGGCCCCTGCGGCCGCTCAGAAAACGCGGCGAGCGGAACCCGCACGCGGAAGCGCCGGCCGCACTGAGCATGCCCAGTTGCAGAGCCGACCAGAGGAGTTTTTTTCTTTTCTTTTTTCTTTTTTTTTTTTTTTAGGGGGGGGTCTCAAGTAGGAGGCCTCCCCACCGCCCCCACCCCAGCCCCCCACCACCCCCGGCCTAAGCAGCGACCATGGCCGAGGTCCCCGGCGCGGCGTTGTCCCAGGCGGGTTGGTAAGTGGCGAGTCTCGCCGGCTGCCGGGCCGCGGGCGCGGGCCGGGGCCCCAAGGAGGTTGGGTTGGGGGCGGCGGGGTGCGTGTCGGGGGAGGCGGAGGCCGCCGTCCACCCCCGGCCTCTCCGCGGGCCCTTCGGGCCGGCTCCGCCCCCGGCGCCACGCGGAGCCGAGCGAGTCCCCTCAGCTCCCCTCGGGGCGGCGGCGGTGGCGGCGGCCTGGGCCCCGGGCGGCGGGCCTGGGGAGAGGCCGGGGGCCGCGGGCCGGGCGGGCGGCCGCCCAGAGCTCGGGCCGGCGGAGCGCCGGGAGGAACCGCAGCGCGCTCCGCGCCGCCGCTCCGGGGAGGGGGTGCCGCTGCGGCGGGACCGGGGGAGACGAGGGCTGGGAACGGAGTGCGGCGGAGAGGGACGAGCGCGGCCGGAGCCCGCGGGCACGCGGGAAGTTGGGGGCAGAGCGGAGCGGAGCCCTCGCTGCCGCCGGAGCCGCCGCCTCTTGCCCCTTATTTCCGAGTGCGGGGAGGACCGCTGTGCAGCTGCCCTCCGCGGCGCACACGCAACTTCTGGAGCTAAGAATGACCGCATTGTCAACTCGTGGGGGTGCTCGGTAGAACTTTTCTTGAAAGGATGGTGTTATGATTTGAAGAGGCCTTTCGTGTGAAGATTTTCGGGATTTGAAAGCAATGCGAAATGAGGCAGTTTCTGGAACTGCGGCCTTTACGGTGGTGATCAGCCGGTTTAATTCAGTAACGCTTTTCCCAGGCTTGCACAGACAGGCACATTCTGGGATGAAGGGTAGGGACGGCAATGAAAAAGATTTGCCTTGGCTCTCTGAAATTACTGCCTTTAGAAGAAAGAGTGAGCGTTAAAAGACCAAACAGACCCTGGGGGAATAGTGGTAAACCGTACAGAGGAACAGAGGAGTGCACTGTGGAATGGGAGGGAGAGTTCATTTCCTGAAGTGGACTTAGAAAGGTGGTAAGGAAAAGGCTTTCTAGCACAGAGCTGCCGGAGATGAGACATGGAAGCGCTTATTGCTTGCAGAACCTATACAAGATCGATACGGTTGGCGAAAGATGTGGATTTGATATTGTGATTACAGTTTTTGATCAGTAGAGAGATGTAATCACAACTGTGTTTTGAAGAAGCCCCTCCTGGTATTAAAGGCACTCGTCCACCCCATTTTACAGGTGAGGAGACTGAGGTTCTCTGTTACTTAACAGAGCTGTTAAGTAACTTTCCCAAAAAACGACATAGCCGGCAAGTGATGGAGTTGAATATTCAGCACAGAGGGCTTGGCTCCGGGCCTGGTTCCTTTAACCCTTACGCGTTATTGTACCTATAGTTTTTTTCGAAGAACAGGACAGGCATAACAGATTGTAGAGTTGAAGACTCACCGTCTTCAGTTTTGTTTTTGTTCAATAGGAATCTCTCCTCTCAGTTTCCCACAAGGGTGTCTTGAATAATCTTGGATCGCTCTTTCATTTCCCTTTCTCTCCATTTCTCATTAGATTGAGCGTTGATTCTTCACACTAGTAATGTTTTCATTTTACAAACTCAGTCTTTCACTGCTTCCCGACATGACCTCTGCTCTGGAAAGATTAGTCTCATTTTTTGGATCCCGAACACATGATAACTTTGTTTTCTTTGGCCTCTTATGCTCTTCCAGGGCAGGGAACTAGGTTTTATTTTTCTCTTTAACTGTATTGCCAAGGAGTGCACCAGATTGTAGATGTTCTCCTTGAGGTCTAATACAGTTGACCTTGGAATGCCCCTGCCAGTCAGAATTCTCTGGGCAGGGCCTCTGCAGAAGCTTGAGACCCACCTTGCTTTGTTAAATGGTTACAAATCTTCAGCAGTGTTACATTGTAGCATTTGCTACTTTGTATTGGAAATTGTCTGTTTATGTTTCTCCCACCACTCTGTGCTGCCTGTGTATGGCGGTGACTCATAAAGGCAAGTAATAATCTGTGGGGCTAGTAAGACTATCTTCCTGGGAATTTTGAGCTTCATGTAATTCCTGCTAGGTCTTGAACAGACTAGGCAGGAGGATCACCTAGGTTTTCAGGTGGCTTTTACTAGGTCTTTAATTAGGGACTTCTTACCATGTTAAAATTTATAATCACAAAGATTTAAAGGCAGAAAAGAGCACTGGAAGGAAAATTTCTCAGGGAAGGGCTTTCACTCCTTTTAGTTCTTATATCCTGAGTTTGCTCTTAAACTTGGGGTTCTCTGTTATTGTCACTGACAAACCATTTTTCTTTTTTTAATTTAAGAAATTTTTTTTTTTTTTCTTTAAAGACCAGGTTTCACCATGTTGGTCAGGCTGGTCTTGAACTCCTCACCTCAGGTGATCCACTCACCTTGGCCTCCAAAGTGCTTGGATTACAGGCGTGAGCCACCAAGCCTGGCCCAAACCATTTTTCTTAGTATTCAAATCTATGTACTTAGTTACTTGTCGAACCTAAAAAGAAACAGATGCTAAAACATCGAAACACTATCATTAAATCAGTTCTATTGGTTTCACCTAAAATAGCAGATTAGGGAGATATTTAGTGCTGAAAGCTTAGAATTCTGAAAATGTGATCTTCAGGGGGGTACAGAAGACCTATGTAGACCAGTCTGTTCAAGCTTACATTATTTTTAAGTGCATTTCCCCCCATCTTTTTAAATCTTCATTAGAATCCCTATAAAAAATATTTTAAAATATAACTTCAGAAGTAGCTACCTGGCAGACTTACAATAATTTTTTTTTCTTCAATGGCCAGTAAGTAGCATACAAATTATTAGATTTTGCTGATTTGAACTTAGACATGTTTCAGGGATTACAGTATAGTGGTTATGCTTAAATAATGCACTGAAAGGTACCTTGTGAGGCTTAATCATATGCATGGAATACCTTAATGGGAAGAAGATATTTGACTCTGATTTTATTTAGATAACAGTATCACTCACTCAGCCTTTTTGTTTTCTCTCTTCAGAGATACATTTCCCTTTAGGATGATATCTTTGATCACTGTGAGTGGAAATATAAAATTCTACTCACAGGAGAAAGATTCAAAGGGTTGATCTCTGGACATTTTGAATTTTTCTCCGTCTCCATCCTTTGTTTGTCTGCTTTAAAAAGAAACATGTCACAGGGTACCTAATTAGTTGTGTTTATATTTTTGAAAAAGTATCTTCTGGCTGGGCATGGTGGTGGCTCACACTGGTAATCCCAGCACTTTGGGAGGCCAAGGTGGGTGGATCACCCAAAGTCAGGAGTTTGAGACCAGCCTGGCCAAAGTGGGGAAACCTTGTCTCTACTGAAAATACAAAAAAAATTAGCTGGGCGTGGTGGTGGGCACCTGTAATCCCAACTCCCTGGGGAGGCTGAGGCAAGATAATTGCTTGAACCCAGGAGGGGAGGTTGCAGTGAGTTGAGATAGTGCCATTGCATTCCAGCCTGGGTGACAGAGCAAGACTCTCAAAAAAAAAAAAAAAAAAAAAGTATCTTCCATTGAATTAGTGTTGTATAGCTTAACTCTCTCTTTGTGCATATGAGGAAACTGAGAGTTTCAATAATTTGCTCAGGTTTATAGATGGCAGAACCAAGAATACGGCCCAGATGTCTAGAATAAACATTCAGTACTCATTTCCACCCAAAATTAACCAAAGTGACCACATTTAATTTAAATTATTGATCAAAAGTGACACATTTTAAATTTGAAAATTGGGTTGAAACATTTTGTGGTATGTAAATTTACTTTCCTAGTGCAGGAAAGAGAAAGGGCTTGTTCTGAGGGGTGATCCTATTAGAATAAAATAAATCTTTTTGTTGCAGTGAATCATCTAATTGCAAACTAGGCTTATCTGAAAATCTGGTAAATTCTGTGTTTTTTGAAGTTTAAGAATACAGTTGGCCCTCCGTATCTGTGGGTTCTGCATCCTTGGGTTCAACTAGTCACAGATCTAAAATATTTGGAAAAATTTAAAAAATAAAAAATAACAAAAATAATATGATTAAAAAACAAAATATAACTTTACATAGCATTTACATTGTGTTAGATATTTTAAGTAATCTATAGATGATTTCAAGTATACAGGAGAATGTGTGTAGATCATATGCATATACTACACTATTTTTATCAGGGACTTGAGCATCAGTAGACTTTGTTATCTGTTGGGGGCCCTGGGACCAATCCCTTATGAATACTGAGGGACGACTGTTTCTGAAAAAGTGAGACAGTATATTGTGTCTGCTTCCTTTACCCAGTAGTTTGAGTAAAGATCCTTTAAGGTAGCATATAAAATAGCATTTCCATTTTGTCCTGAAAGAACATGTAGAAACCCAGGTTTCTAACACCCAAGGTTTAGCCATGGAATACTCTAGGTTTTGTTTTGTTTTGTTTGTTTTGAGGGCAGGGATGGGATGGAGAGGATAAACAAATTCCTTCTTACTCCTTGAATTTCACTTTCCCCTTTGGGGTTATTTCTGTTTGATTATTCGTGCTACCACCATGCTGACATCCTCTGGCCCAAGTGCATGCATAACTCCTTTCCCTTTGTTTCACTTTTGAACAATTAAGAAAGGCTATAGCTTATTAAGGTCTTTCTCAAAATGTAGAGCTAGAAATCAACCAAGGGGGTAAATAGAGAAAATAAGCATAATGACAGTATGGGTTATAAAGTGATTATTGCTCTCGTCTTCAGGTGCCTACTCTATTCCATTACCTTAAAGATAGCTACTACAAAGAGGTGGAACAACTTCAGGACATTTTGCTGGAATTTCTAATTCCTAGTTTTTGGCCTGTCCCCAGATGAAGGGTTTCTTTTCACCCTTCCATTACGTAGAGGCTTCTTCTCAGACATGTTAATGATCGTGACTAAGAAACTCAGATGCCCAGTCTGCAACCACTGCTGTCCTTTTGTTTGTTTTGTTCTAGTTTTCTTAGAGACACACCTATTTTCCAGCAGACTGCTGGTGAATGGTCTCACTCTTCAGATGAGAAACATTATATAGCAGCATCATATATTATAAAGCAGCATCATGCAGTATATTGTATACTGTATACCTCTGCAGTAGCAGCAATATGATTATGCCTTTTTATGCTAGTGGTAATAGACATAAAATATGAGTTTATGCATATAATAAGAAGGTATTTGAAGTTTTGGTTTCTCACTATTCCAGTACAACTCTTAGAAATAGATACATTTTGTAGAGAATATCGGTAGTTCTTTACAAGGTTTAATATTAAGTGCAGAGTTTTAAAAATCTAGTGTTACGATATACCTTTAATTACCACACTTCATGGACTTTAAGTCATATGTACAAGACAGGCAGATGTAAAAATCTTGGTATACTCTTTTGGAAAGGATTCAAATCATTAAAACACTTTTTTATATGCTGAAGAACATTAGAGGAAACCAATAGCTTTTTAGTCAGATTTTAGGGGAATTTATTGGAGACATCCTTCTATTTTGAAATATTTTCTATTTCTTTAAGGAACATTTGTAACTATCTCTTTGGCTTATATTGTTGTGAAATTAAAACGTTCAAAGGTAATAAACCTTGTTGACCTTCTGTCTCAAAATATATTACATAGTGCTTTACAGCTTCTACTGATAATGTAAACTGCGAAAAATGACTGGATATTGTGTTAAAATGTGCAAGTGTTCAGTTTTCAAGGTGCCATTTGCAGTTCTTTTTTTTTTTTTTTTTTTGGCAACAAACCTATAAATCTAGTTTCAACTGCCTGTAGACTTGACTGCCTTAAGCATAAAGGGGTATAAAAAGAAACTTGCTACCTCAGCAGGTTGAAAATAATTTTTTCCTTTCACACAGCAGCATTTGCTAAATCAACTAAAAATTGCATAGTAACATTTCAAGAACCATAAAAATATGACTATATCAACTTTTTTGGCTTATGTTTTCTCCTTTTGACAAAATAATATTGGCATTTTGACTTATCATGTTTCAGTTAAGTGCCATCAGTCAAGAAACTCATTCTTTCTGAGAGGTCTAGGATCTAGAAGTAGCTGAAGAACACTATTGCCAGATAAATTTTGGAAGAAGCATACTGCATGCCCAGCAATGCAGAAATTTTTATGTAAAAATTTGAGAAACACTTGCAATGTCACAGCACAACAAAGAAAAGCAAAGAAGATGGGCAAAAATGTCTGGTAATAATGTAAGTTTTTATTAAAAAGT